TAAAAAAAAAAAAAAATTAAATATGTAGCTCTTTGGGGAGAAAATTCTGGCTTTTTACGGTACGCCCTTCTATATCCCACCTGAATTTCAAGAACATTTCAACAGATTTGAATCTTTGGAACACTAATGACAGAAAACAAAAGGGCATTTTAAAGAGAAGGAAAGGAAATTTCAAAGTGCATGATAGAAACTACCCTGGAACCTCTTCTTGATCGTAAATCAGCTGGAGAAAATGATGGATGTGTTCAGCTGGACTGACTATAGAAACAAATCAAATGACACTATGTATGCCTAAGAAAGAGCTTTATATCAAGAAATAGTTATATATTAAGAAAACATTCCCACTCTGTCTAACTCAAGTTGATAAATCTGACACTAGACCATAGTCCCCTTCAACACAGCCACATGCAATGATGCAGGATACAGGAAGATCACAAACCAGCGCAAAGTTGTGTGGATACAATGGTAGTGGCTCTGGCAGCAATCAGGGCCAGCCAGCAGGAAGGTGAAGGCAGGGAGAGTGGGGGAGGTTCCCAGGGCCCTCCCTATGGGAGGCCACACCCACAAGGAGGCACTATCAGGCTGTGACCTGATTGACAGGTTGAATATCACCCCTACACTTTTATATATCGTCAAGTTGACATAAAATTATGTAACTACCATAATGAAGTAAAAGAACTGAACAAAAACATTTCAAAGGGCAGCTCCAGAAGACAAAGTAAAATATTATAATGAAATGTGTAAAGACCTGGGGATAGAAAACCAAAAAGGAAGACCGTATACAATACACTGAAGAAATAATTCAAATCTTGAGTCATAATGGAAAGCGTCTATGGGAAAGATATTGAATAATTCAGAAAGCATCAAAATGAGAGAGGTGGAATACACAAGAGTCACTGTACCAAGAACTGGTATATTTTCAACCAGTTCAGAAGGTAGGACTTGGTCAAGAACCTCTGACAGTGAAGGAAGATGTCGAATCACAAGGAAGGCTTTAGTGAGAAACAAGGCTCGGGGACTGAGGGGACACCAACTGAAAAATTTCAACAGAGTAGAACTGCCCCTGTGAGTTTCTGAGGCAGGAGCAGAAAACCTCGTCTTTCTCCCTCAGAGTGACTGGTGACCTTTGGTTAAAAACCCCTTGCATAACCCACTATATCAGGTGGCAAAAATAATAGCGGTGATTGCTTGTGAGACCTACTCTGCTCATTTTATATTTTGTTACATCTGTCCCAGACTTACGTACGAATCGTTGACTGCTTTGGAGATCCCTAATGACATGTTGCAGACCATCCAGGATCTTATTCTGGATCTCCGAGTACGCTGTGTGATGGTCACACTGCAGCACACCGCGGAAGGTATGTGAAGACATTACCCTGACTGAACAATGGCTGCCTGTGTATACCACCTTCTTCCAGCCCTCCAGGTCTTTGGAAACAAGAAAATTCCTTCCGTGGAAATTTTAAAGTGTTAGATCATTGTAGTACTAGATGTTCAATAGCTTTTTTTTTTCTTTATATAAAGTTCAGTGGTGTAATTATAATATATATGTATACTTATTTTCCATGTAGAAATAAAGAGATTAGCGGAAAAGGAAGACTGGATTGTTGACAATGAAGGACTGACTTCTCTCGTAAGTTTAACCCTTTACCATTGTTAATGGTTACTCTATTGAATTCACATATTAATTTTCCCCTTAGAAACGACTGCTTTCTGCTTCTCTGTAATGAGGCATGTGTCCTCTCCCCACTGCAATTCAGTATATTTTCTAAAAGTAGAAAGCTGCTTAAAGTTTACCTTCTCACGGTCATTTTTGCTTAACTTGAACCACGATTATTTTTAAATTAATAAGAAAATAGGTTTCTTCTAAAGTGGTCCTCCTTCATCCTGTATCACAATTTTTGTTTGTATTTTTAAAAATGGATTATATTTCATTCTAAATTACTCAAAAACTTAAATATTTCAGGAAAACAAGATTTTAAAATGTCTGGCTCCTACCTAAAACAACAACAAAATATCTTTTCAGGTACATACTCATATCAGGGGTGGCAACTAAAATTATGACCTGTTCATTCTGTATCATCATCTTATCAAATAGGCCTTTCCAATTATTTTTATAGTCTTATTGGTACATAATCCACATATACAATTCAATAGGTCAGCCATATCATGAAGAGTCGTACAATCATTATCCCAATCAATTTTAGAACATTTTCTTCATTTTTATACCCGTTGCAACTACCTCCCCATTTCCGCCAACTTCTGCTGCCACACCCCTAAGAGCCATTAATCCAGTTACTGTCTCTATACATTTACTTAGCATGGATGTCATATACAGGAAAGCATATCATACTAAAAAACCAAAGGAAAACAAAGCTAACAACAATGACAAAGTAGAACAGAGAAAAAGAACTGAACCGAAAAAAGGCAGAAAATATTAAAATCTCAAATATTTTGAAAATAATTTTTATTATCTTCATTCTTTTTACATCTGTCTCAGGAATTCGCTAAACAATCCTGCGAGGCAGGTATATCAATCGGGATTTATATTCATTTGCTAGAAAAAGACATGTCAGTTCAGTCGTGCAGGTCCAGTCCGAGGCTCCTTGGGCCTGTCTTCTCTGTGGTCTCGAGCGACTGGTTCTGTCTCGGGGTGGCCTTAGGGTCTGAAGTCGACCATTGCAGCCCATGACCTCATTCCTGTTTGGGAAAGAAGGCTCAGCACGTGCCCAGAAGCCAAAATGGACAGCTTCTTTTCATCACCACTTGTAACTGGCCCGAATTTAGTCACATGCTCACCCTGATCTGCATTAATGACTGGAAACGCATTTAATTTTTCAACAGATTATGTTGCTGCTCCCAATCTTTTCTGTCTTACCTTACTTAGCAAGTAAGGAGGAGGTTGGGGTGAGGGAATATTGAGTTAGCAGCTAGTAGTTTCTGCATTATAAATAAAATAAACTACAGCAAAATGGTTTTAGCTTACACACATTTACAAAGTGGTGATGAGTCCGACAGTTGAGAAGTCACGATTCCGTGTGACATTTCTTTATTTTCTCACCTTTCTGTATTTCAAATCTTTCTTCTTCCTTTAGGAGTGGGAGAATTTTTATTGTTGTTGAAACTATATATATCCCATATATATATTGGGATATTGTTGTTGAGACTATATATATCCCATATATATATTGGGAATATATCCCAATTCCATAATTTCTG